AGAGATATTGTCATTGATGAACGAAACAAACTCCAAATGGAATTACAAGATTTAATGATAACCGTGGCCGATTTAACCAAACAACTTAAAACTAAGCAACTAAGAATAATTTCCTTAGAAAATGATAAGGATGATTTAATGCAGATTAACCAGCGAATAGCTCAGCATTTTAATGTTAATATCCAGGAAAATAAAAATCCAATTGCATGGGAACTGTCAATTTTGAAAGACACTACACCTAATTTGAATTTATCTATTATCTAAAAAGAAATTTCTCTGCTAAAACCCTTGTATATTTTTAATTGGTAATAATAAAATGAACAATTAAATACAGATACTATAGCATTAGCAAAAGTTAATAATTATTATTCTGTTGATTATTTATTAAATAAATTTTATAGGTGATTATCAATTTTTTTTTTTGATTTCGCGACCCTCGAATTTCTTCTCGTATATACAGTATTTTGACGTACGAAAATTAGAAACTAAAATGCGCTTTTTCACCTTTTTTTTCTCTCAAATTTTCTTCTGCATCAGCCTTGGCTTTTTTTTTTATAAATTTTGCTGCCGCATCTTTCTATTTTCTATAACTTTTTATATAGAACTTATTTTGAAAAACTGATTAGTAATTTAATAAAGCTTATCTCAAAGAATAAAGTTACCAGTTTATTTTTTCTAAATTTTATTTTTAAAGAGTTGAAAGATTTTTAAGTGTTACATTTATATTGTTAAGTATAGACTTTCTGCATCATATATAATTTAAAATTGTAAAAAAAAAAAATAATATTAAAATAATAATTTATTTTAAAAAATATTAATATAAACTTAAGATTTTACAAAAAATTAGTAAAAATTTACTTTACCTTTAAAATTTTTTTTAAAAAAAAATTTTAAAAAAAAAAAAATCTTATTTGATAAAATAAAAAAATTTTAATTATAAAATATTATTTTAAAATACTATTAATAATTACTTATTAATCTAAAAAAAGAAAACTATATTATAAAAAAATAAAAAATAAAAAAATTCTTTAATAATAATTTTAATTATTTTTTTTTTTTTAAAAAAAAAATATATAATATAACTTATCATTAATTTTAATAGCAAATAAATTATATAATTAGAGAACAATAACTATTTTATTTAAAGTATAATTCCAGATAATATTTATAATAAAAAGCATAATTTATTAATTTATATTTAATTTTTTATTATGTTTGATTTTTTTAGTATTAAATTTTTATAAAACACATATTATATAACATTAATAATACAGAATTCTATTGGATGATTAATATACAAAACAGAACGATATTGCATTTAATA